TTGAGGCTGTTCCCTTTCATCCTGTTCCCTGGGAGATCTGGGACAACACAGCTTGTGTGAAATGCCATTAAATGCCACTCTCCAGAAGAGCTGTAGATTTTTAGGGAGCAGCTTTCAGCAATGCCAGGCTGTGGCAGAGGGAGGCAGGGATGCAGGGTGGACAGGGCAGCAGAGGGAGCTCCCCTATTGCTCCTCTGGCCCTGGACACTGTCCAGAGGCTGGTGGAGATGCTCTGAGCTGGAGCTGGACCTGCACAGGCTGGGTCTGGCTCAAAACACTGCTCTTGTTAGACAGGGGAGTTCATTAAATTCCAGTTTGTGACGCTTGAGTGCACTGGAACAGCTCTGCTGGCGTGAATCACACAATTCCAGGATGGAATCACACAATTCCAGGATGGAATCACACAATTACAGGGTGGTTTGGGTTGGCAGGGATCTATAAAAGCCATCCAGTTCCACCCCTGCCATGGCAGGGACACCTTCCACTATCCCAGGTTGCTCCAAACTGTGTCCAACCAGGCCTTGGGCACTGCCAGGGATCCAGGGGCAGCCACAGCTGCTCTGGCAATTCCCAATTCCCAATCTCCCACCCATCCCTGCCCTCTGGCACTGGGAGCCATTCCCTGGCTCCTGTCCCTCCATCCCTTGTCCCCAGCCCCTCTCCAGCTCTCCTGGAGCCCCTCCAGGCCCTGCCAGGGTAAAGCAGAGCCAACAGCAGCTCCTGGAGATCCCACTCCCACCCTGACCTTCCTGAAAGAAGGCAAGCCCCTGGATTTCCCTTGTCAGTCCCTCAGGACAGGATCCAGAAGGTGCAAAGCAGCTTTTTGGCTTTGTGTGACCCCCCCTCCTGCTCAGGACTCGTCTGCCCCTGGAAGGGTTTTTGCCTGTGTGGATTTTGGGTCTCCCAGCTGCAGACCATGAGATAAAACCAATCTGTGGGGCCCAGCCCTGCTGTCAGGGCTCATCCTGGCTGCACCAACCATGGCAGAGGCAGGATTTGCATTCCCTGCCTGCTGGGAAGGGGATCCCGCGTGGAATGCCTGGAAAAGCCACCCCGACCCCTCTGTGGGGAAACGCACGTGCCACTGGGAAGGCAGCAAAGATGGGATTGCTACACCAATCTTCTTATCTTCTTTGCAGCTTAAATCTCTGTCTGCTTTGCCCAGGATAATGAATTTGTGGACCTCTCCCTGCTGGAGCTGCTGCTTTCCAAGGATTTCCAGCACAATTGCCATCTGCTGCCTCCAGGAAACAGCATTTGCTGGGTGAAGACATAATAAAAGCTTTTTTTTTTTCTATTAAGGTGGTCAAAGACCAGAAAGAAAGAGGCTCCAGCAGCAGAGACACTCCAAACTCCCAGGGCAGCCTTTTCCAGGTGAATCCAAAGCTGCAGCCCTGTCCCAGCCCTTCTCTAACTCTGATCCCCTCAGGGATCCAGCATCACCCATCTGGAGAACCAGGGCATAAAACAGCATTTTAATTTCACCATCTCTTCAGCACAAAAGCCAAAAGCAGAAATCCAAGTTGCCTTCACCAGCACCAAAGTGCTTTTAAGGCAAATAAAAAGGATTTTTGGTTGGGATCTAGTGGGGCTTTAAAGGAGAAATGGGATGCACACAGGGCAGGAGGATTCCATCAGTCACTTTGATCAGTAAATCAGTAAAATTAAAAGTCTTAGAATTTAAAGGTCTTAGAAATAAGACATAAAAATCTCTCACACATTTGGGCCTGGT